GTTCCCCTCTTGAGCCCCTCTTGGGCCCGTCTTGGGGCCTCTTGGTCCGTCTTGGGCGGCACTTGGGCCGTCTTGGGGGCCCTCCTGGGCCGTTCCGGGGCCGTCTTGGGAGCCTCGTGGGCCGTCTTGGAGCGGTCTTGGGGGCCTCTTGGGCCGTCTTGGAGCGTCCGGAAGCCGAAAAAGCCATAACGCAAAAAACATAGAAAATTATTCACTGCGTGGAGCTCCCCATATGTGCATCTACTCGCATGGACCTGTCCGCCGTGAATGTCTAGGCGCAAGAGCTTTCGAATATTAACGGGCTTCAGTTGTGACGGTCTGGACATCAATCTAACTGCGAATGAATTGGAGTGTGAATGAGCCTCAGTAGTACGAGCGCGTCTCTGTGCATGAGCCTGGGGCCTCCTGGGGCCTCCTGAAACCTACTGGGGCTTCCTGGGGTCTCCAGGAGCCTCTTGGGACCTCCTGGGACCTCCTAGGAAGGTTTCGTGCCCCAGGAGAGGCGCAATCTATAGCAACAGACGTACATAAAACATTGCGGATTAGAGCCACAGGAGAAGGGCAATCTATAGGAACACGCGTAAAACACCAAGGACTCGTGCCCCAGGAGAGGCCCAATACATAGGAACATGAGTAAAACATTTAGGATTGTGTACACAGGAGAAGGACCATCTATAGAAACATACGTAGAACATCAAATAATCGTGCTCCAGGTGAGGCCCAATCGATAGGAGCATACGTAAAACACATGGGATTGGAGCCACTCCTGTTGCCTTCTGAGGCCTCCTGCTCCTGGGGCCTCTCGGGGCCTCCTGTTGCCTTCCGAGGCCTCCTGGCGCTTCCTGTTGCCTCCTGGGGCCTCCTGTGGTTTCCTGAAGCCTTCTGGAGCTTCCTGGGGCCTCCTGGAGCCTCTTGGGACATCCTGTGGCCTCTTGAGTCTTTCTGTGGCCTCCTGATGCCTCCTGGGACCTCATGTGGTCTCCTGGGGCCTCCTGGAGCCTGTTGGAGCCTCCTGTGGCATCCTGAGAAGAATCTGCGCCCACGAGCCTGGCCACCAAAACAAGCAAACCGATCGAGACATCCTCAAAATCTGGCCCACCTGGGGGGTGAAAATGAGCGCCTCGCTCGAGACATCCTCCAAATCTGCTCCGAAAGCGAAGGATGTTGGGCCCAGAAACAAGCAAACCGCCTGAGACATCCCCACAAAATGGCCGCGAACGAGCCCGTGCAACCACCCCTGGCGGCTCCCCTTAGGGGTGCTGAAATGAGCGCCTCGCTCGAGACATCCTCCAAATCTGCTCCGAAAGCGAAGGATGTTGGGCACAGAAACAGGCAAACCGCCTGAGACATCCCCACAAAATGGCAGCGAACGAGCCCGTGCAACCACCCCTGGCGGCTCCCCTTAGGGGTGCTGAAATGAGCGCCTCGCTCGAGACATCCTCCAAATCTGCTCCGAAAGCGAAGGATGTTGGGCACAGAAACAGGCAAACCGCCTGAGACATCCCCACAAAATGGCCGCGAACGAGCCCGTGCAACCACCCCTGGCGGCTCCCCTTAGGGGTGCTGAGTATGAGTAAGTCTGTGTATGAGTAAGTCTGTGTATGAGTAAGTCTGGGTATGAGTAGGTCTGTGTATGAGAAAGTCTGTGTATGTGTACGTCTGGGTATGAGTAAGTCTGAGTATGACTAATACTGTGTATGAGTAAGTCTGGGTATGAGTGAGTCTGTGTATGAGTACGGCTGGGTGTGAGTAAGTCTGTGTATGAGTATGTCTGAGTGTGAGTAAGTCTGAGTATGAGTAGGTCTGAGTATGAGTAAGTCTGAGTATGAGTAAGTCTGTGTATGAGCAAGTCTGAGTATGAGTAAGCCCGACAGGAGGGGAGGAGAAAAGAGGAGGAGGAAGGAGGAGGAGTAGGAGGCGTCCAAGTAATAACAAGAACCCCATCTTAGGATATGGGGAAAAATAATGAAAATCAGCGATTTTGGCCTCTTGGGGCCCTCTTCGGAGGCCTCTTGGAAGGCCCTTGGGGCGTCTTGGAGGCCTCTTGGGCTGTCTTGGGGCCCTGTTGGGCGTCTTCGGGCGATCTTTGGCCGTCTCGGGGCCCTCTTGGACCGTCTTGGAGGCTTCTTGGGGACCTCTTGGCCCGTCCTGGGGCCCTGTAACAGGGCTCCGGCATCTCTGACCCGACCTTGCCGGGACCTTGCCGGGGTACTTTTCGTCCGGGGACCCCCAGGGGCCGCCCCGCGCGCGCGAACTAGAAATACTGTTAACCAGGTACCGGAGATCTTAGCACGCCCTGGCCCGTTGGGCCGGCGAATTATCATGATGCTGATGATGCTGCTGATGATGATGACGATGGTGGGGGGATGATGATGCTGCTGCTGATGATGGTGCTGCTGATGATGATGATGATGATGATGATGATGATGATGATGATGATGATGTTGATGATGATGAGGATGTTGATTATGAGGATGAGGATGATGATGAGGATGGAGAG